TTGGTGGTACTGCATTGAATTTTGAAGGAAGGGCAAAGAGAAGGCTAATAATGCGGCATCAGAGAAGGCCTAGCTTGAGAATGCACTTTATGGTATTCCTCGGGCCTGATCTCTCCACCCCCAACCTCCTTCATTTTGAGCTCTGAATTGAACATACTCTTGGTACATGGCTGTGAATAACTACATATGAACACAGGACAATAACAGAGCTAAAACATACGTGTTGACACTAAAGTAGATTTCCTGATAAAGGGGGTGTCCTAGGTCAGAGGGCAGGAGGCAGGATGGTAAGAGCCACAGATGTTCTCGTCCGGAAGAACACACAGGTGCACCCTGCTCTCACAGCAGTTGGATAATGAAAAGGGCACAAAGGTTTGGGAGCGTTCAGTCAGAACTTGTTATTGTTTGATCCCGCTGCACTGAAGTTTACATTTGGAAGATTGATGATTCTGAGCCAGCGAGATGGCTCAGCCACTGAAGACACCTATTAACAAGTCTGAGAACCTGGGTTAGATTTCTGGGGTCCACATGGTAGGAGAGAATTGGCTCCTGCAAGTCATTCTGTGACCTCCATACAAGACCTGTGACATGCCTTCACTCAAACACATATAAACAAAATAAAACAAGAAAACTTTTAAAGTTTTTATGTAAAAAAAGATGTACCATTAAAAGTGTTGCTTAAATAAATTGATAGTAAATTTGAATTTACATGTTCAATGCGCTAAAGCAATTTCATATCTTCTGTGAGTTTCTCATTACCTGCAGACTTCATTTGGTTCTCCATTAACCTGGTCAGTAAATTTTCAGTTTCCTGAGTAGAGGCGCCACCAAGAATGTAGAAGTCATAAAGCATATTTGCTAATGCCTACTTTACTTTTAGCTGGACTTTTATTATGTCCATTGCTGTTAGTTGGTCCAACTAGGATGATATATCCAGTCTGCCACCTTTCTGTCATTTCCTTGGCTGGTCACATGTAGCTAGAGTTTTCCTGCCTGGCCCACAGTCAGGACAAATCTCTCTCACCCGCCAGTCCCAAGCTGCTCAAACCCGATCAAGTAAACACAGAAACTTATATTGGTTACAAACTGTATGGCCGTGGCAGGCTTCTTGCTAACTGTTCTTACAGCTTAAATTAATCCATTTCTATTAATCTATACCTTGCCACGTGGCTTGTGGCTTACCGGTACTTTACATCTTCCTTGTCCTGATGGCGGCTGGCAGTGTCTCTCTCACTCAGCCTTCCACTTCCCAGCTCTATTCTCCTCCTTGTCCCGCCTATACTTCCTGCCTAGCCAATGGCCAATCAGTGATTTATTTATTGACCAATCAGCAACACATTTGACATACAGACCATCCCACAGCACTTCCCCTTTTCTTTTCTTAAAAAGGAAGGTTTTAACCTTTACATATCTCCAAAGTCAGCTTGGTATATTTGGGAATTTGGGCGTAGCTTCTCTTACTACTTCCTGCTGGAGGGGGGCGCTGTATCTTCTGGGGAAACAAAGAAAATTTTAGGATCATGGAGTAGTCCGTGAGGCTGTATCATCTGAGCCAGTTGTCTTGAAACGGTTCTGGATGTTGGATCATCTGGGCCATGGTGTCATCGGAGACCTTTCAGGGGGTCTTGGCTGGTCAAACCTGATGTATCTTACTCTGGAACAAATCCATAGCCTCTTGCTTTCTGTGGAAACAAAAGAGACTCTTTTCCAAAGCAACATATCCTTACATCCAAATTTTGAAGTCAAAGTATCTTTAAAATATACATACTGGTTTAACTCAGCTTCCTTTACAATCAAATATCTCTCTGTAGTTAAGAATCCCAAAGACAACACAATCCAGACTCTCTGTGTAATAGTCATCTCTACGTGGCTTATTTTTTATATTAATTTTACTGTCTCTTTAAAGACTTTATTTTTTTTAAAACCATGTATTTGTTTCTATACTGTATATATCACCTTTTTTTTTGTCTCTTTTAAGCCTATGTATATTTTACACACATTTTAAACTATTACATCTGAATCTGTCTTATTATGAATCTGTTGCTTTAGCAGCATGTAGCTCAGAAACCTCTTTTTTTGTTTTGTACTAGCAAAGGCTAAATCCACAATGCAGCTTAATGTGCCATTTGTAGAGACTTCATTCCCGCCATACTGCAGGTCGAGCGCGCACGCCAGCAACCCGCCAGTAGCTCAAACCGGCAGCTGCCGCTCATTTGAGAGAGACAATTAGGAAGCTGTTTTTAGCTCCGTTTTAGAATCTTTTTTCTCAGGTTTTAGGTGGAAACTCTTGCCACCACGTTGGACGCCATTTGTTGCTAGAGTTTTCCTGCCTGGCCCACAGTCAGGACAAATCTCTCTCACCCGCCAGTCCCAAGCCGCTCAAACCCGATCAAGTAAACACAGACACTTATATTGGTTTCAAACTGTATGGCCGTGGCAGGCTTCTTGCTAACTGTTCTTAGGCTTCTTGCTAACTGTTCTTACAGCTTAAATTAATCCATTTCTATTAATCTATACCTTGCCACGTGGCTTGTGGCTTACCGGTACTTTACATCTTCCTTGTCCTGATGGCGGCTGGCAGTGTCTCTCTCACTCAGCCTTCCACTTCCCAGCTCTATTCTCCTCCTTGTCCCGCCTATACTTCCTGCCTAGCCAATGGCCAATCAGTGATTTATTTATTGACCAATCAGCAACACATTTGACATACAGACCATCCCACAGCAGTCACACATTATAGAGAGTTCAGAATATTAAGAGCAGCATCTGTATAATTGGTGGAGAGATAGGTCTATCTTTGGAGTGTGATCTGGTGGGTATTTATTGGTAAAGAAGCTTTGTTGAAGTGTCAGCAACCAGACCAGTGCAGTAGTAATTTCAAGGAAAGAAGCCTGGTCCTCTGGTCCCCAGTGTTTATTCGAGACATGTTATACAGGGGGTCTTTACTAGAACATCTAGATTGTCTTTGTGAAAACTGTCCTACTGTATCAAGCAGAAAAAAAGCCATCTGATCTTTAATTCAAAGACTTCTGTCTCTATATGTATATCCAAATCTTTTTTTAAAAGATTTTATTTTTATTTATCTGCATGTGTGTATATCTGTGTGTATGTGTATCTCTCTCTCTCTCTCTCTCTCTCTCTCTCTCTCTCTCTCTCTCTCTCTCTGTGTGTGTGTGTGTGTGTGTGTGTGTGTGTGTGTTGATGAACATGTGTGAACACTTGCCTGCAGAGTTCAGAAAGGGCCATCATACCCCATGGAATTGGAATTATAGGCAGTTGTTTTCCAACCCACACAGGTGCTGGGAACCAAGCCTGGGTGCTTTAGAAGAGCAAAAAGCCCTCTTAATCAGTGAGCCATCTTTCCAGAAGCAGATGCCAAAATGTGTTTACTATAGTACTTCCTGGTTCTGTTACCCTCCCACTGAGTAACCTAATCCTCTAAGCCCTATTCACTTCCCACTTAGTACATCCAACATCATGCAGCTAAATTCTAACTCTTAAAATGTGGAATTTTTACCATCAGATCTTCACTTTGAGGGACAGTACTTTAGGTAGAAAACAGTCAGCTATGGGACTGGGCTAGCCTGGGACCCCAGGTATGATCTCATTGTCTGTAACAGTATGTGACTTTCTGAGCCTTTCTGAGCTCTAGTTTTCTCTCTGCCCTATATGGAAATGACTCATTTTTCTTATAACAAATAAACTCTAAGAACTAACTGAGATCCCATATGTAAAGTTTCTCGAAAAATAATTAGCAGTAATTAACATTTTTTGCTAAATATGTTCATTTTGGCTTCCTAATTACCTTCTGTATTAAAACAAAACTCAATTAACTCTGATTTCAACAAAACTTTTTAATTAATTACATGTTCATTTCTAGGTGGGATATGCCAGTCTTTCAAAAGCAAATCTTATGTAAAGAGTGTATCCATTTTGGACTAAAATAGCTATTTTTTTTTCTTTTTTTTGAGGGCATGTGCTGGTTATTGATAACTAAACAGTCTTTATTCTATAGTTTTCTTTAAAAGTCTGTTCAGAACCTCCTCCCCCAAGTTGTCATCACTTGGAAAACAGTCCTGACTTCTCTTTACCCAGTGCCCTTAAAAAGTCTTGTTTTGAGCATTGACAATATGTTCTCGGGTTATTTTCTTCCATGAAACTTCCTCTTGCCTCCTGCCTTTGACATATGCCTCCATTCTGCCACTTATCCTGCACTTCCTCACTTTGCTCCTGTGAATCTCTCCCCTTCCTCTAGTGCATGGAGAGCAGGGTCTTTCCCTGTGCTCCTGCCCAGAGCGTCTGCGCTGGAGGACGGCCGAGGAAGCGCTTCACAGCAAATGGTTCACAGAGCAGTAGACTCTGTATGCTCTGCAGTCACCCACTTCAGGACAGCACTTGTCAATAGCAGTGTTTATGGAGAAAATTTCCTGTGTGGGGTAGGCTAAAGGAAAGCCCAAACCTGACAGAAAAATGAGCAGAACTCATTGTTATCTGTAGAGGGTAAACTGAATTGATAGCAAGCATCATGGATCTTATCCCATAGGAAGAAAAACACAGTCTGGGACTCCATGGATTCTCCAGGGACTGGCTAGTGGGAAGACAAATCAGAGTTTTAGTCTGTGGATCTGAGTTTGTTTAAAACAATTTCCCTCACTGAGATGGTTCCAATGTAGGATCTACATATGCAGATAGACATAGTGTCCATTGACCCCTGAATTGTAAGGCAGGTACATGGCTGTTCGTATGTCATATGCTTGCACTAAGGCAGACACATCGCCCGTGGGAATGAAAGCCCAGCCCCCTAGAACAGTTGAGTGGAACTGTGGCCGCAGTTACTAAATGATCCCTCCTCTTTGAATCCAGATATGTCTCCTTGTACTGTGCTATTTTGCTGTATTTTAAGTATCCATTTTCAGCTAGAGAAAGCTCCAAGTGAGTTAATTACAGTGGGTGTAAAAAAAGGAATTCAAATTAGTAATATCATTATCTCTCTCTGCTTCTAGTGTGTACGAAGCAGGTAACGGATGAAGTACCTTCCACTCGAGACTGCAGCCTTACGAACACAGCAGTGCAAAGCAAACTGGTGTCTTCCTTCCAGCAGCACACCAAAAAGGCTCTGAAACAGGTAAGAGGCTGCCTTCTGCACTCAGCCCTTCAGTTCCGCCTATGCAAGGTTACGGGGGTGGTGTGGACCAAATAAGGTAACCAGGATCCTGAAATCAAACAGTGACAAATCAAACTCTGGATTTGGCTGTTTCTGTAATATTTAGTATAATAATTTCACTATATATTGAAAATTAGGTGTTGATTGGACTAAGAACTCTGATGTAAAACAGAATAGGAAATATGCCTGGTGTCATGTAAGAACGTGTGTGTGTGTGTGTGTGTGTGTGTGTGTGTGTGTGTGTGTGTGTGTGATTCATAGTAAATTCAGTTGGGATCATAATTGTGTTATATAATTTGGAAATTATATTTCTGTTTATGATCATCCTGTTTATCTAGCCGTTGCCGCAGTAATGAGTATTGTTCGATACTGAATGGAACTTCATCTGTGTATCACAGAAGCTACCTGACCTTGTTGGCCTTGACCTGTGTGTCCTCATGCTTTGATGGTGGGGTGGTAGAGGTAATGGCTGTAATATTGGGTTCTGGGCACTGACACAGCCTGGTTTAAATCACTGTTGTTCTGAGAATCTAGGCAAACCCCTTTCCTCTCTGATTCTCTTACATCCCATCAAAACTGGGGGCATCAAGAGTACTTTTTACGTAGGATTGATCTGATGGATAATCAAGATGATATGTAGGAAGCTGTGATAGAGCATGGTTGCCCCGTGATTCCCCACTTGGTGAGTGTCAACTGCTGTCACCACACCACCAGGTCCTGAAACACAGGAGAAAGAAAGGTCCTATGGTTAGATGGGCAGTGGAGTAATGGTTACACTAAATGTGTAAGCTTCATCCTGCAACTCTGTCTGCCCTGTGTTTAATGGAAGTCGGGAACAGGGTTCCAGTTCCTGCAATGTGTTTATAACTAGGAAAGGAGAAACGATATTTTCCAAAGCAGCTTGAGCAAAGTTCCCAACAGCCAAGTTGCTCCTTGATGCTCTTGTGGCTTCTTCCTCCTTTTCCTCATCTTCCTACCCTCCCCATTGTGGTTGTTTCGTTAGTTGAGATCACATCTCCCTGTTGATACCAGGCTGGTCTTCAGCCTTCAGCAGTCCTACTACTTCTGCTGGTATTACATCTGGGGCTTGCCATCGCAGCTAACATTCACTTGTAGATTTGGGATGCTTCTACCCACCGTCTCTGCCCCAAAGAAGGAAATTCAGGAAGGAAATTGAGCATTTTAATATTGAGTTATGTTACTTTTCTATTCTGTGTTAATTACTGAAATGATGGTTCTCCCATCCATATTTAAGGTACTGACAGTGTTTTTCCTGCAGAGGGCTAATCTTCTTTGGTAACTTGCCATTCATATCATGAATTTTATGAAACGTTTTTTAGATGCTACAGAGCAAAGCTGCGATCAGCATTGATATCCCTTTTTAATTTGTGAAATAAAGGATAGAGTAGGTAGGCAAGCCCAAGCAGATGCCCACTCAAGCAGCAAATAGGAAATAGGATGTAGGCAATAAAATACTAAACAGCACAAAACAAAGAGTACAGAATTGGACACTTGTGGCTGTGGCATTTAAGAAACATAAATTGGATCATAAATGAAACGTGTGCATCCAAAGTGTGTGGCCTAGAGGATGTGCAGACTGTGAATCGTGCTGGGTATGAATGGGAAGAGAACATTCACATCTCTGTGATGGATGTTGGTGTCATTTTTCTCTCACTTTCATTATTTCAGCTTCGTATCACTTGAATTCTAAACAATTATTAATGTTGTACAACTTTGAGTTAGCAGTGTTCTTGGTGACTCTTGATTTCTCCCTTTTTCTTTTCTTTTGTAGTAGATCATGTGCTCATGAGAAGCACAACTTGCTTACAGTTTAAAGTTTGTCTTTAGAAGCGTGTCCTGTGAGTTTCTCAGTTATGAGAAAGAGTCATTTATTCCTTTCTTAGAACTTCTATCTTGGAATCAAGTAACAAATTATCAGCCAAGTAGATGTGGCTCAATATAGGTCGGATATGCTAATGTTCCATTAATCACTAATTTGTATTGTAAATAACATTCAAAAGAAAAGCTCCCTGGGCAGAATTTTACTGAGATCCCTGTAACTGCTGAATGCCTTAAGACAGCATTTAAAACTTGAGTAAACATATGGCTCTTACCTTGTAACCCCAGACAATATGCACCTGTCATTTGCTTTGGACAGTTGAAAGATTATAACCAGATAGAATTTTTATCTATATCTACCATATAAACATGTACATATATGTCTGAACATGTTTTCATGTATGTGAATTATATGTCCCATGTATTTGTATACAATCACTAATCATAATCATAGCATGTAAGACAGCTGAATCACTTTGGTGATTATTACACAAATTGATATTTACATTATTATTCACCCTTTGAAGTGTGCAAGCATTCATGTGCCTGTTTTTATTTTTTTATTGCTGTTTGAGAGAAGGTCTCATGTAGCCCAAGCTAGCCTTTAACTTAGCATCTAGCTAAGAATGGCCTTGAAATCTCCATTCTCCTGCTCCCACATCCTATGTGTATCACCATCCCCAGCCATAGGCCTATTTTTCAAATAAACCAAGGTCCAGTGAATTAACCTAAGTTGTTCAAGACCATCAAGCCAGTAACTCTCAGAGACAACACTTGAATCTAAAATTGCAGTTTCAGATTCTATCCTCATCATCAATACCTCCTATCAGCATATGGTATATTATTGAGCATATACTGTTTTGAAACTATGGAAATATACATACTTTTTTTGTATGACATTAGGAGGGTAACACAGGGGGGTCACTCGGAATACCATTCCCCAAAACAGACTGCTTGTGTTCAGTACACATAGTGATGGCCCACTCTCAGTTACATTAGCCACTAAAAATTCATGAAAAATAATTCTCATTCTTGCCCTCCTGTGGTTAAACATCTCTGAAGCTGCAGTTAGTTTTTTCCCCAGCTTTATGAGAAACCCAGGTGCCAGGGGACTTTCTCCATCAGCACACATATGCACCAAAGAACAGGCTGAATCCTCAGAGGACCCCAGCTTCATTATAATGTCATTTACATTATGATTTAGGTCTTCTTGTAGGCTTTCAAAAGGATAATGGGATGAAATGCCCTAAAATAGAGAATCTGATCTACCATAACTGGGGAGAGAAGATCACCTTATCCTCATGAATGTCAACCCACTTCATAAATATTTATACAAACTTTAAAAAAAAAATCGTGCCACACTACACAACCCAATATGCTGCTAGTGTCCTTTGGGGTCACCATGCTCCTGTATCTCTCTGGGTGTATGAGTGCACTTTTACTTTGCTTTGCTTAGTAAACTTCTTCTTAAAGTGTGTGTGTGTTCTGATTCAATTGAGCTGCAATAGAAAGAAGGAGGTGAAAACAAATTCCTAAGAACACAGGAGCCTTCACATCACAAATAAATAAAAACAATGACTAAAACAGGAAAACAAAACTCCTGCAAGCAAAGCCAGACACAGCATCACAGGTCTAAGCTGCTCACCCTTTAATATAGGATGACACTATAACAAGCAAGTTCTTTGACCTCAAAGCTGCTGTCATTGTAGGCAGGACTGTGTAGAACCTGTAGTGCCTTGGCTATTGGATAGAATATTTTTTATTGCTCCAAAATACCTGAATTCCTTTTACCTTCCGATCATCATGGGGTTGGTTAGCGTGATGAGCGTAAGTGCATGGATACCGTTTTATTTCCTTGCAGTTTTGTTGATGTTGTTTTTCCGTGTATGCACTCTCAGAATCGTCTGCTATTACCTAGTTCCCTGTCTGCTTTCTGCTCTGCTCTTGACTTCTTAAGATCCTTAGACAATGGGGAATGATTAGATTTTTGAAATTTCTAAGAAGCAAAGCAAGATTATCTTTTGGAGTCTTAACCAGCAGAATAAAACGATAGGAAGGATGAAAAGAAGGATGTATTGTGCTCTGGCAATAGTGTGGTAGTGACGGTAACCACGTGTTGCCTCTGTTGAATTGATTTCCCCCAGTTTTCCTGGGATGGTGGAAGTTGCAGATCTTTCATCCTCGTGCTATGGTAGAGCAGATGCACTCTTGGTACTTTGCTGTGTGGTGCTGGTGGTGGTGGTACTTTCCTGTCACCAGTCACAATGCTTGCTGCTGGTGCCTGACACAGACAGCTGCTCCCCATGTGTGCACTTCCAGTAATTTTAGTGTTAGCAGTCATGGCCTCTGATATTTTCAGATTTTCAATAAGGGGGCTAACTGCGTTCTGCACGTTCTTAAGTTACAGTGTTCGTGTTGTTTCTCTATTAAAATACAGTGAACACTTTTTGTTTAAAGTGCCAAGTCAACACAAAAGCTTCTGGTACTGAGCTTCAGTTTATTTATTCCCATTAGAGTAGATGCGAGGATGACTTTCCTTCCTTCTTTGTTTTCTTTTAGAGCATTATCTGGAAAGCTTTCTGTCTCAAACGAAATGTTTATCTAAAAGTTTTTTCCTGTCGTTTTATAAGAAAACATCACACTGTACATTTCTGTAGAGAAAGCATATTCAGCTGGCAATTTCCTTTCCCTTTCACAGAAAGACACTGTTAACCAGAAGTGAGTGTGGAGTTATAGTTACTTTGTTCAGAGACATTTTTATTTAATTTAATTTGATATTTATGCATATGAATGTTTTGCCTATGTGCATGTGTGTGCACCAGTTGTATGCCTGGCACCCCTGGAGTCCAGAAGAAGGCATCAGCTACCCGTAATTGGAATTCCAGATGGCTGTGAGCCACCATGTGCACCCTGGGAATTGAACCTGGGACTCCTGAAAAAATAGCATCTCTTCAGCCTGAGAACTCACATCTTGAACCAAAAGCATGAAATAAAGAAAGTCACCTAGACACACTGTGAGGCCCGCAGTGACATACTTCCTCGAGCAAGGCTGCACCACCTAAGCCTCCCCAAAAAGTGTCACCAGATGTTGACCAAGTGTTCAAATGCCACTGGGGTCAGTTGGCATTCAAGCCACTGCACTTCCTATCATTGGCATTGATAAGCAACTGTAGAACTTTGTGCTTATGGCCAGCCAGGGGGGACATTTATTCATTTCAGAGTGTTCTAGACTTCCCATCTGCTTATTTATTTAGATTCTAGGTTTGCTTCCTTCTGGGTTTAAAAGGATTGGATGTAGAGTTGTTCAATAAAGCATTCGGTTGGCATTACAAAACAGAGAGTAGCCTGACAAGTAGAGGTACCTCAGTGGTACTGTACCCCTAAATTGGATGTAGACTAAAGTAGTAAGACCAAGTAGTTAATGGTGAAGTTAGGACCTTAGTGTAGATGAACCACTAGGGCCAACACAGCCTAGTGGAGAACAAAACAGTGTTTCCACGATGTCACAATGGAAAAGCATTTTTCTTCTTTTAGGGCACCCTTGTATGCACACAACCCCATAGGTATCAGAACAAGTTTTCCTGATCTCTTTTCCTTAACTTATCACATAGATGTATTTTTCAAGTTAAGGAAAATTCATTCTAAGGAAAATAAATTCTATTATATCTTTATGCTAAGACTCTTTATATTTATTTTATATATTATATTCATAATATATATATATATATATATATATATATATATATATATATATAGTAAATTCCAAGGGACATGTACTATGAAAAAAGCACTCCTGATTTCAAAGAGAACCACCAAAAACCCAGAGGCCTCAGTGGAAGGAGTCTGGCTATGTTCATCATCCCCTGGTATACAGATAAGTTCATGGTGGTACTTAGCAGATGGCACATTTTGCTGACCTCAGGTTGCCTGTGGTCTGGAGTTACCTTGTTTTAACACATTATTTATAAACAGAAAAACAGACCTAAAAAATTAGATTTGAGTCAGACATGGTTAGCAGGAGGATTGCAGGTCCGAGGCCAGACTGAAAAATGTGGTCACACCTTGTATCAAAATATAATTTACAGAAGACTGAAATGTGGCTCAGTGTTAGAGTGCTTGCATAGAGTATGCAAGGCCCTGGGTTTAATCTCAGAACTTACAGAAATCAGCGAATAAGGATTAGATTTGGTGAAGCAGCTTCTGGCCTCCCTGGGGGTGTGTGGGCCCTTGTTTACTTCAGTCTCTTCCTCTGTTCTCCTCTTTCCTCTCCATACCACCCATGCTCAGTCGCTTCCTCTGCTTTCCTCTGCCCTCTCCATACCACCCATGCTCAGCCTTTTCCTCTGCTCTCCTGTTCCCTCTCCATACCTCCAGTGCTCAGCCTCTTCCTCTGCTCTCCTCTGCCCTCTCCATACCACCCATGCTCAGTCTCTTCCTCTGCTCTCCTCTGCCCTCTCCATACCATCCATGCTCAGTCTCTTCCTCTGCTCTCCTCTTCCCTCTCCATACCACCCATGCTCAGTCTCTTCCTCTGCTCTCCTCTGCCCTCTCCATACCACCCATGCTCAGTCTCTTCCTCTGCTCTCCTCTGCCCTCTCCATACTTCCAGTGCTCTTCAGAGAACTGTGAAGAATTGACATGCAGGAAGTTGGAGTTGCTGGCCTGAGCATAACTGCCTCTTTACCAAAGAACAGTCTGTTTTTTCGTGAAGGAAAGGCACATTGTGCCACCAAGTGTCCACGTGCTTAGTAGGCAGGAAGCATGTCTAAATACCCTTACTTAGAGACATCTGGGCTATCTGATGACCCAATGGAAACAGCATTGTATTGTCTTCTATTAATGTTATGTTGTCCATGTAGGGTGCCCAGTGTCCATCATTATGTTGTGTGTGTAGGGTGTGTCCAGTGTCCATCATTATGTTGTGTGTGTAGGTATCCAGTGTCCATCATTATGTTGTGTGTGTAGGTATCCAGTGTCCATCATTATGTTGTGTGTGTAGGTATCCAGTGTCCATCATTATGTTGTGTGTGTAGGTATCCAGTGTCCATCATTATGTTGTGTGTGTAGATATCCAGTGTCCATCATTATGTTGTGTGTGTAGATATCCAGTGTCCATCATTATGTTGTGTGTGTAGGGTGCCCAGTGTCCATCATCAAATACACTCTTCTTCCTGGGAAGAGATAGACTCCTCTGGACAGCTGCTGATGGAGTCTAAAGAGATGTATTGTAGTTTGTGGCATCAGGACTCCCCTTTACAATCTGATGCCATAGGAAACAGACATGACCCCTTTTTTGTTTTCTGACCTCTGAGTGTTTCTTAGAATTAAATAGTGTGTGTGTGTGTGTGTGTGTGTGTGTGTGTGTGTGTGTGTTTTCAGGGGCATGTACCTGTATGTATGCATATTAAGGCCAAGGGAGGATGCTAGGTGTCTTCCTCTATCTTCCTCTGTTATCTGTTTTGTTTTTTTTTTTCCTTTACAATAGGTCTCTACCACACAACAATGGTGTGTGACTTTGTCTGGCTTTTACATGGGTGTTGAGGATTCAAACTCAGGTCTTTACACTTGCATGACAAATATTCCTAGTCACTGAACTATCTCTGCAGCCCCAATACTTGTTTTGCAAGGGCATAGCAAAGAACCATGCCTGGTTCTCATATACTTTAAACAATTTTGTTTATGTAATATGTATGTAGTTTGTATTGCCTACAGCACTCAGTGGGGCATTTCATTACTTTTTAAAATAGTGTTTTGGAAGGAATTATTCAAACTTACATGTTTATGAAATGTCATTTGGATGGACTCCATGTTTGCATTTCTTTATCCTACCTGATAATAATTCACAGCAGCCATGGTTTTTATTCTTGCATTCCATCTGCCATGGTTTCTATCCAATTGTTAAATCTTTGGTTGTTAGAGGCCTCTCAGCTCTAGAAACTAAAGGTGAAAGTTTTTATGTATTTTTATTATTACTGATCACGAATTAGAAAAGAAGCATGGTATCTTTGACTTTCTGTACAGGTCTAGGCCATTAGTTAGTTAATTTCTTTTATAGTTAATCAACACTTTCCATAATATAATCCCCTGACATCACGTGCTCACATGGAGAGGGTATTTTTAGAGGACTAATATTTCGCCAGGAGGAGTTGAAGTTGGTGATACCTGGACACGTGGAGATTCATTGCTATATTTACGGGCTGCCTTTACTCTCCTGTGTCGATTTACACAGTAGGTGAAGAAGACCTCAGCTGTAATTGGAAGCACTGATTTGCCTAATTCTCTTGTATTGTTAGGTTAATACCTACAGAGTGCTTTGAGTTCTTTTATAAAAGACGAGAAAGATTTATGCAAGTATGTTACACAATTTATGCCCAATTACATACACAGCTTGAAGAAAGAGTAAATTCTTAAATACTTTATAGCACATGTGGCCTCATTAAATATATTACTGACAGCAGGCTAAGATGAGATGGACGGCATAATGAGTCTTTGTATCTCAGGTTCCTCAACAGTGCCTGGGACTTCACAAAAACTCCCTAAATATAAGAATCCCAGGGTGTTATCTCTAGCAAATATATCATTTATAATAAATTCTCCAACTCTTCCATCTGTCATGTGGCTTTAAATCTCATCTGAATTTGCCTCTAAGTATTGTTTAATTTTTCATTTCTGTAACTATGTGATTGCTAAATCTTATGGTCAACGAGTGAAACATACAACTCATACCCTGTGTAAATAAGAGCACATTATTTTTGACAGTCAAGAAATATACAGTCAAGGCAGTATTTCAGAAGATTGTGACAACTGTTGGTCAAAGCACATTAATCATATAACTGAGACGTGTTAAAATTAGTAGAAATTGCACAGAAACCAGGAACAAAAAGGTTTGAGAACAGTCTGTGGCCAGCCTTTTAACCTTTTGAGGAATTTCAGCATTCCTACGGCTTTAGCTTTTAATGGCTTTTCCTGTTTCGTGTGCTTAAAACCCTTTTTATTACAGGTAATTTTCTGCATAAAGCGATTTGCTAGATAAAACTGTATTTCAAAACTTTCAAATGCCTTTTATTATATTATCATCACTATGGCGGACTCATTTATGAAACACAAAGCATTCCCATTTTGAAGAGATTTATTCTCCTATCTATTTTTTCTTGGATTTGCCCAAACCCTGTCATGTTCGTGTTCTGAAGGTTAATGCCAAAGTCAAGCAGACAGAAGCCAAGGGCTGCAAGCTTTCCAAGATTAGGACTGATTCCCTTCACAGAAATAAATGATTCCTGCCATGTTCGGTGATTTTGTGCAGCGCTCCCCACGGCTGAGTGAATGCATCAATACAGTAGTTCTTACATGCCGTACATACTGATGACACCCGGTGTTAACTGATTGACTGAGCAGCGCACAGGAGACAGAGCACCTGCGAGAGAAGTGCAGACACATATATTTTTATCCTGGTTTTGAAACATTTATTTTACATTTATTTTACTTGGGAGCCCTAGTATCAAGTTCCACCGGCTTTCAAGCCACACTGCTAAGGTAGAATAAGCCGTTCCGTGGTGTTTTGTTATCAGAATTAGACCGAAAATGGCCTCAGGCTTAAACCCCTTTGCCAAAGCTCAATTTTATGCTTTTGAGGGAAAATGGACAAAGGTGATTACCAAGAATCCTGACAAGTCAGGGGCTCTGTGGGATTGGAGATAGTCATGAGCAAGTGGATCATGTAATTCAATAACCAGAAATCACTGTGGATACGTTTTTATGTTATATTTTATTATCGTGTTTTATAGGCTTTGAGGCAGCAGCAGAAAAGAAGAAATGGAGTCTCAATGATGGTGAACAAGACTGTTCCTCGTGTTGTTTTGACACCATTAAAGGTGTCTGATGAGCAGTCGGATTCGCCTTCAGGTAAAGAGCTAAAATATTGTATGCTTGGCCAGTTCCTTCCCGGAGGAGGCTTCCTCATGGAGAAGGATGGCTTGATTTTTTTTTTTTAATTGAAAAGATACTTTCATGTGAGGTTCAGTTTTATACATATGTCCATATATCTATAATGTGCATCTGTATTATAGATGTGTAACTATCTTCGACTCTCTCAGTAATTTAAAACTGTAGAGTGTTTCCCAATTGTCATGTTTTAAAGGCACCAGCCTCTTCATCAAGTGACTTAATTTGCTAATGTCAGTAGGTATGATAGATGGATCCTGATGCTGGTGGGTTTGCTGTCCTTGCATTAGCTTTCTCTTGAACGTTGAACTTGAGTTCTGGACCACATGCTGGTGTGCAACACCATGGAAAGTAGTTTTTCTCTCGAGTGTGAATTTGATTTTCAGCAAAGCCTAGAATCCTTTGAGTGTCTGTGTTCTCGAGACATCCCTGTCACCTCTGTGAAGCCCTGACCTGCTCTTCTAATTTGCCTCCTGTCACTTTATCAGCTGTGAACTGTTGAATTCATTATGGATTAGTGTTTGCATTTTCTGTTCCTGCTTCAGTATAATGCTGGTGATTAAGGTCTGGTCCTTCCTTTTCTTCCATTTCCTTCTTCCTTCATCCTTCTCTCTGTCTGATATCGTCTCTAAATGGCATGGTAGTGTTGGAGCTTATTCATGTGTTTTTACAAAGATCCAACTCTTTCATTTAAAAGCTGTTTGATCAGTAAATGCATGTCAAACTCTGCTATTAGGCCATCTGCTCTTGCTTTTTGTCCAGGTTGATTGATTTATTGGCCTTTTCTCTTTATATCCAATAGGGGAATCAGATTGTGGCTAAGGTAGTATATTAACTCAGGAAAAGAAAAAGGAGATTATATCTGTGGTTCTTAAAACAATTTTAGATGTTTCTTGTCAAGGACAGGGAGAGAAAGATAATGGCATAATAACTATTTCCTTTTTTAGGATCCGAGTCTAAAAATGGGGAAGCAGACAGTTCAGATAAAGAAATGAAACATGGGCAAAAATCTCCCACTGGAAAACAAACAAGTCAGCACTTAAAACGCTTAAAAAAGTCTGGTTTAGGTGAGTACCAGTTCACATTTCAGAGATGTATGTCTTTTAAAAAAACAGATTTTTTTTCTTTAGTGCTTAAACAAGAAAACTGAAAATATCCTTCATTCATCTAAACAAAAAGAAATGCTAAATTGGGAAGCATTGTAGTTTCAGTTGAGTCTCAAGCTTGTAACAAAATATAATGTTATTGGATAAAGCAGAGGGTAAAGATAGCAAAATTAATGTGAAATGTGTATTCAAGTAATTACCTCTGTATCCAGGATTCTGTCTAGCATGCAGTATTGTATTGTGGCCTCCCTTTATTAGGATATTCTAGACTCTGGGTAAATGAGGCTCTTTGGAAGGATGTATTGAGTTGGAGAATGTGTTGTCATGGGGTCTGCTGCAGTAGGGTTGCCCCGCCTTGGTTTTTGTTTGAGATGCTTGAAATATTCAGTAGTATCTGTCTACAAAACAGAAATGGTATACAATTCCTGAGAGGTGTGGGGGACACTGTCCAATGATCTTGCTATTAACAGTGGATTTTGTTCTGGATGCTTGCTTTTGCTTTAGTAAGGATCTGTAAGGAGTGTACTGAAGTATGAGAATTAAGACAAACATGAGTGTTTCCTGAGCTGACACCTGTAACTAACCCCCCACACACCTTGTTGAGGGACCTGGGCCCACTGACTTCACCTTTGAATAGACACAGTGATGATATAACCTAGAGCATTAGAATATTTGAGAGCTGAGTGTAGTGCTTAAATATCTCAGTGTATGATAAAGTGCCTTCCACAAAACGCTAAGGACCTGAGTTCAGATCCCCAGAGGCTACCTGAGGTCTACTCATGGTCTTGCATGTCTGTAACCCTAGCACTAATGGGGAGTTGAGATAGAGACAGGCATGTCACAAGCATGCTGGTCATCCAGTCTAGCCAATCAATGAGCAGCAGCATGTTCAGTGATAAAGTGAAGAGCAATTGAAGAAGGCATTGCTTCTTCATGTACATGCACACACGTGCATGTATACCCATATAATGTGTGAGGGTGTGTGTGTGTGTGTGTGTGTGTGTGTGTGTGTGTGTGTGTGCGCGCGCGCGTGCGCACAATCCATGTCACCCCATGTTGCCACAACTCCCTCATACTCACAGGGATATTGGATATGGTGGTCAGTAAAAACCATGAACTTACTGACCTGAACTTTTTTTTACTCTGCCTGCCACATGCTTGGAAATGTAGTACTCTTTTTTTATTTATTTATTTTATTTTTATTTTTGGTAAATTTCAGCCAGATCTTAACTAGTTGTTGACTGGTTTGATAGTTTTATTTATTGCCTACTGTATGCTAGAAAATTTACTAAATCTGGGACACACTTTCACTAAAAAGCATTGGGATAGGACTGGTAAATCCTTAGATAAAAGATTTGTGGGAAAGGAGTAGCAGTTTTTAGTTTAATTCTTTAATATGGCATGGTTATTTATTTTCTATTGTTTCTGTGGCTTTTATAGCTATTTCCTACAACCCCAGTGTGTCTCTGTGTGTTGGGTAATCATCATATAGACACACACACTAATATGTTTTTCTGGTCTGAGTGTTTTAAGTAATTCCTAAAATGGGAAATTCTGAATGACACATACAGAATGATATCTGAGCCACATGTACACTCACGTGTATTAGTTCTTTCTCTGGACAAGCCCAGGTCTGATTTAAAGATCAGTGACATTTAATTAAAAGGAGTGTGCTATCCGTGCAGGGTGGCACACCTCTGTAATCCTAGCACTTGGGAGTTCAAGGCCAGGAATTCAAGTCCAAGTGAAAACCTAACCAGCCATGGCTCCATAGCAAGACTGTCTCCCAAAACAAAAATGAAGCTGGGTTGAGTGGTGAATGACTTTGATTCCCATACTCAGGAAGCAGAGGCAAGTAGATCTTTGTGAGTTCGAGGCCAGCCAGGGATCCATAGTGCATAGTAAGATATTATCTCGAAATTAATTAGTTGATTACTAATCCACTACAACTTCAGCAAAATGAATGACATACAAGAACAGTATCTAGGATGATCATCCTTGGCATGCCTGGCTTGGGTCATGCTGTGTTATCAGAAGCCCCAGGTCTTGGATCTTTTCCATTGGAATCTTGTGTGTTATGGTCATCACCTTGAGGTCCATACTGAAGTAGAGAGAATAAGAATTGCTTTGGGGTTTATTGTCTTATTGTTATTGTTCTACTTTGAGGGTCAACTGAAAGGCAGGGTGACAGGCAGCTTCTCTAGATAATCATGCACACCACAGGCCATCTCACATGTTGTGAGTAGTTTCTTAGATGATTTTGCTGCATGCAAGGACAAAATAGGAGGAATAATGATGCTGTTTTCTAGGAGGGATGCAGAGAATCATAGTCCGTGGTTAAGGAACTGGTTGGCCAGATGTGTCAGCCTTTTAAGACTGGGACAGGGAATTGTCCTCTACAAAGTTTACACTTAAGAACTGCATTCATAATATTTTAATTGACGTTATGATTTCATGTTGAGCTCCATTCAAAGCTATCCTGTGCCTGTTGGTTGGACTCATCTGGTTAACGTTTGATATAATTTGTCACATTTAATTCTTTAGCTGTATACAGTAAAATGATTTCCATTTTCAGTAAAGAAAAAAGTCTGAGCTCCAGAAGGTTAAGAAGGTTTCGTCACAGCTAAGATCCAGGCTAAGGCATGCGCATCTGCAATTCTACCATTCATCTTAGGCAGACTTGGAATGGCAGAGCTACCCTGCATCCAATGGCTGCAGTTTTGACTGGGGAGCCACCTCAGTCTGTATCAGTTGAAGTGTCTGCCTAAGTGTTAAAGTACAGGCACTCTAGTTGCACATGGAAAAAGAGGTAGCACTTTTAAGATCTCTTGGCAAACACTGTATAAAGCAAAAGAAGGAAGTGTTGAGATTTAAAATAAGTCTAAAGTAGAAACAGCCTGTGATCACCGGGAAGCAACTGTGACTGCTGAAGCTAGCAAGCCACTGAACAGAGGGGCTTAGTTTGTGCAAATGAAGTTGGCAGTGCTCACTAACATTCTAATAGACACCAACAGTATAAATGAAAAATGAGAAGAAGGAGAGGAAAGAACCCCCAGGCTGACCATCTTCAGACAAACCACCTCGTCCAGCTTTTTAAATTATCTAAAATATTTTTATTGTATTTAATTGTTGGGTGGTGGTGGGTGGGTGCACACAAGCTATGGTATGTATGTGGAGGTCAGAGGACAACTTCTGGTAGTTGGTTCTCTTCTACCATGCAGTTCCTAGGGGTTGGCCTCAGGTCTTCAGGACTGATGACAAACATCCTGTCCTGCTGAGTCATGTTCCCGGCCCAGATAGTGATTTTTAAAATGTTCTGTTAGAGTCAGGATATTTGGTATTCTTCTTGTCATGGTGCTGTTGGGTCTGCTAGAATAGAGATTGTTCTGCCCTTCCTCGTCATCCTCCCACACCTTTTGTGTCCCTTCCGTTTGGTAGCTGCTGAGAGAATATTGGACAAATGAGGGAGAGAATATGTCAATTGAATGTGCTAGTGAGTCAGTCAAGATAAATAAGGAGTACATTTTCAATGACTTCTGTCTCCCTGGATGACACTGTGTCTTTAGGGAAGAGCATTCTAAATGAACGCATGTATAAATACAGAATCAGAAAGAAGGAATGCCCCCCGCCCACCCAAGCCAGATGGGGGGTACCACCCTCATCTGTTTCTCCCACCTGACTTAGATACACTTTAGTGTCAGAACTGCTTTGAACTTACTTTACCTTCTTTCAGAATGGTTAGCAGTCCTTATGTGCTGATATTATTCTAAATTAGAACATACACCATAAGTTTCTTCTAATTTCAATTAGCAAGGCTAAAAGCAGTCAAAAGGAGACTTCATGGTATAAGCCTAAATTTTCATTTTCATGGTAAGATTCCCCTAGCAGGATAAAAAGTCACTTCTAATTATCCCACATGCACTGACTCACCCTCCACCCACGTATGCACAGCCTTCCTCAGGACTGACAGCATGGATTGTAGCGGTCCATCACTATTGCTGCCGGTGAACCTGGATCAGTGGTCACTGTCACCTCGATAGCTGGCTTGACATTCTCTTTGGGTGCCCCAAGATGGGATCACATTCATCTACCAGTGTCGTGTTCTGTGGGATATTTCAGCTGGCTTAACTATCTTCTGCGCTGTTTCTTCCCCCTTCTTCTTTCATGTTTCGTGATTTCACATATCTTCCCCCACCCCAGCTAAAATATAAGTGACTTAAATTCAGGGTCACTGACCTAAACCAGTTGTTAATTGTGCCTTCTACCCAGTCACACAGTAGGAGCTTAAAAGTGCTTGTTAAACAAGCCCAAGCTTTTAATGGATGTCTCTGAGGGAGTTTTAATAATGTCCTCACTGAACCCAACTTCTGGGATTCCTTCCAACATTAATTTTTTTGTTTAATCTTTTTGTAATACAGAATTAAAATTCTGCTGGTTTTAAAGAATGTTCCATATTTGAAAAATAAATTCATGCAGAAAAATAAAAATGAAAATTGGATAATAATTCTGTATGTCATTCAAAATATCCTCGTTGTTTCTTAAAAGTTGTTTGGCATTGCTTAATATTATCTGTTTTTCCAGAGATTATATATACCAGGACTCTGTTTTAACTAAAATACTAAGTTTTCTTAAAGTGGGGATAAATAAGAAACAGAAGAATTTTTTTTTTTTATTGAAAATAAATTTCTTTCATACATTGTATCTTGATTATGGTTTTCCTTCCTCCAACTCCTCCAAGATTTTCCCCACCTCCTCTCCCATCCAGATCCACACCCTTTCTGTCTCTACTTAGAAAACAAACAGACATTTAAAGAATAATGCTAAAATAAAATAAAGCAAAAACTAATTGGAATAAGACAAAACAAAAAGAGAACAACCAGAAGGAAAAGATCCAAAGAACAAGCTGAAGATGCATACATAGACACAGAGACACACATGTTCTTACACACAGGAATCCCCCA